TTACAGAAACTTTTCTGGTGATCACAGTGCTTTGAGCAAAAAAATTACACTTCCATCTGCACCAAAATATAGTGCGAAACAGAACAATGGCACGTTTGTTTTGATATTATTATTGATAATTCAATACTTTAATTCTTAATTCATATGTTAATTATAAAAGCCACCTTATAGTACTATGCTATTTGTATTTTCTATTTTTCCTGATTTAATGTTGGATGATAGTAATATTAAAGAAATTTTTATTTTTCAAAGGAAAAATGCATCCCTACAGTCTACAAATGCATCCTTACAGGAACGAGCAGCTGTTTTGACTCAAGTGTTTCAGCATGTGCGAAGTGTAGCTGTGTCAGCTGCTGCAAATATTATTCATTCACCTTCGGCATCTGTAAGTCACGTATTGTATCAACTGACAGGATGTCTAGTGAAAATGGTTGGTATAAGTTTAATTTATTTTTCTAACGAATTTTAAACAAAAGTATTTATGGATTTTACAAATGTAACAAATTTTACAAATTTAACAAATTATTAGGCTTAAAATCCATGAAGCCCAAATATGCTCGACACCAAAATGTTGTAAATCAATTAAATTCCAAAAAGTATCTGTGCACTTTTTTCCATAATAAGAAACCACAGCAAATAAAACAATATCAAAAATGATTTTTAAATTAAGGTTTATCTTTCTGTAAACGAGTGCAAACGTATAAATAAGAAAATTTTCAATTATGCAAAAAAAAATTTTTTTTTTTAAAAACAAATAACTTGACACACTGATTACTAAGAATTTTGCAATTAAAGTATATTTAAGCCTACATAAGCTTTCAAATAGCAATTTGAAATTATGTTAAAGACGCATTTTGCAATTTATATATAATATTACTATTGCAATATATTATTTTATATGCTGCTTTTTCAAATATAGATACACTTATTGCTTCTTTAGATTAATTATTTTGAAAGTCTAGGTGACCGAAATTGTAAAGATGCGAATCGGCGCATTATGTCAACAACAGCAACAAACCAACTTTGTTCTTTGTTTAGTTTCAATGGTAGAAAAGAAAAACTATCATTTGAGAGCTGTTTACTCTGCCAAGTTTTTTTCAAAGTTTGCTAAGTTTTTTCAAAGTCTGCTTGCCAAGTTTTTTTCAAAGCAAGTTACTTTAAAATGCAACAATTGAAATGCTTAGTTATAGTTAAAAATTATTATGCACCATAAACGTCTCTAAGTAATTGGTTATGCATTTAACCTTTGATTTAACATTTATCTTATTAACTATTTTAAATACGATTTAAAACTTATCATTTTAGAAGCTTGTAAAAAGATCATCAAAGATGCAAAAAATAGAGGAAAAGATTAGAGATGTATTTAAACATGCTCCTAATCGACCAGAAGGAGTTAACTATGAGGTTCATGAGTTTAGTTGCTTTTTTTTTCTCTGTAGTGATGAGGAAGTTTTTTTCAAAGCAAATTACTTTAAAATGCAACAATTGAAATGCTTAGTTATAGTTAAAAATTATTATGCACCATAAACGTCTCTAAGTAATTGGTTATGCATTTAACCTTTGATTTAACATTTATCTTAATAACTATTTTAAATACGATTTAAAACTAATCATTTTAAAAGCTTGTAAAAAGATCATCAAGGATGCAAAAAATAGAGGAAAATATTAGAGAAGTATTTAAACATGCTCCTAATCGACCAGAAGGAGTTAACTATGAGGTTCATGAGTTTAGTTGAAGATCATTTTTAGTAAATATTAACTATTAATACTGATTTAAGTGTATTTCATTTATTCTTTATGATAGAAATTGTTTATTTAATTTTAGGCAAAAATTGTAGCAAATACTCCAAGTAAAGATGTATTATTGCAACAAGCCAAAGAAAGTTCCGATTCTGAAAACACGGAATAATATTAAAATGATTGTCATTCTTTATGCGTTTTTTTATTGTTATAACTTTTTTTATATATATATAAAAAAAAATGATAAATTTTTCATTACTTATTTGTAAAATTTTTTGTTAATTGTAAACAGCTCATCCAGTTATGACTTCAAAGTCAAGATCCAAAATCGACTCTTGTAAAGTATGTTGTACTATGGCATTTATCATTTTATAAAAATTATTTGATGTAAAAATCAGTTAAGTTCAGTTAAGTTACTAGCAAAAATAGGAAGTTTAATAAATAATTGCGCAAAAAAAATTCAACCAACATTCAAGAGTTTGATTAATCGAGTTCTCGCACCAAAAGACGATTAATAGCAAATATATCATTTGATTTAAAATGAAATATGAAATGGAATCTGTCGAAAAAATATGGTTGGTGGCACAAGGAACAGCATTTAATAAGCGATAATTTAATTTAGTCAAAATAATCGGTGTCGATAAAAAGAGGCAACACAAATCATTATTGTATATTACGTTGTATATACACGAATCGTTATCGTTGCAAGAAAAAAAAAGACGTCTGAAGCAGTTTTTGCATACTTCTTAGCAAACAAACATTGTTTATAAAAATACTCATACAGATATACCATGCAAATTTCTATTTGTTCGAGCATTTTATGGAATGAAAAGGTAAAAAATATACTTAAGGACCTTTTGTATCACTCAATCAAGAAGCTTGTATAACTATAAGAAAAGAAAATTTTAAAACATTTAAATGATTAAAAAAAACAGACTTTCATGAATTAATTAGTGGTTGATATATACGGAGCATCAAGTCACTCAAAATACCATCAACATTTTTATAGTTTGAATCAAAACAACCTTTAAAAATTGGACCTTTTAGTCACAGTTACATTATCTCTTTGATTATATTTACATTTAGAATCAGACAATATTGATTTGGGTATAGGGTGATTTACGCTTTTAATTCCGAATGTAAAGTTTTGGTCTGCGATTTTCTTCGGGAAAAGGCCTAGGAGCGTTAGTTAGTCAAGGTCTCAAACAGTCGTGCTAATCACAAGGCCAATAACTAGTTCAAACTGTGAAAATGCAATGGAATCAGCTGTTATAGATTTAAAACAATCTGATTTTTGAAATAGCGAAAACTTTTGTTGAAAAAGTAGATGGAAACTTGTTAATTACCTATTAAAGAGGTATTGCCTAATAAAATAAAATTATTTAAAAATTAAATTACTTTTGTTATTTTAACAAGTTATTTTTAAATTCAATTAAAAAAGTTTAATTCTTTCAATTATGCATAAGCTTAAAATATTTTTTTGTATAGTTATGTATTTTGTATAATTTTTCATCGTTGGGTTTGAGCATAGCATACCGTCAAAACCGTCTACTTGTTAGTTTCTGTAATAACAATGGAGTGGATAGACAAAACAAATACTATAGATATTTTTTATTCCAACGATTTGAGAAATCTTCATTTGCTAGAAAGCTAACAATTTTGATTTAAGAAATTTTAATAGATAAATATGAATAATAAACCACAACTGACTTATATATCGTTTCAAGTTTTTTTTAAATTTTAACACAATTAAGTTAATAAACTTAATTGTGTTAAAAATTAAAAAAAAAAAAGTATTATACTAAGGGAAAAAAAAAACTTATTATTAGGCGAAAAAAAAATTTGGCATTTCTAAAAAGAAATTAATATGGCTGCTGCTAACGCTCGTTCTTCACATTGGCTTGCTACTTATAATAACCCTACTCATGATGCTATGGTTCTAGAAGCCTTTTTTAGCGAACAAGAGTGGAAATATGTTTTCTAAAAAGAGCGTGGTGCTAATGAAACTGAGCATTATCAGATATATTTTCGTACTTCGCGTTTGTTTTGTCGACAAGTAATTGAAATATTACATCATAATTTTACTTGGCATGTTGAACCTGCACGTCGTTGGCGACAAGCAATGAATTATTGCTGTAAAGAAGAAACAAGAATTTCTCCTTGTGTTTACACCAATATACGAAATGAAATTGATCGTGTTGCTTTACCGAAATTGGTAGAAATTAGGCGTTTCATTGATGCTAATAGTTCTGTTATTGATATTATGGATAATGAAAAGTATTTTTCTACCTGGGTAAGTCATCACCGTTCTTTGGATTTGTATGTATCTAATAAACAGAAGAAATGTAATTTTAAGACTATGGTTGTTTACTTTTATGGTCCTAGTGGTGTCGGTAAGTCACGTTTAGCTCTTGACATCGCTAAGCATTTGTATCCTGAGTCTGAGCCTTTTTATAAAACTAAAGGAATATGGTGGGATCTAAATAATTATAATGATGTTGTTAAATGGAATGATTATAGAGGCGATTGCTACGAACCGCAAGAATTATTTAAGCTTACAGATCGATATGATTATAAAATTCAAATCAAGGGTGGTTATCTTAATCTTATATCTAAGGTAATCATTTTTACATCAAATGTACCTAGTGATTTTCTGTATAAAGATAATAGAGGTCAACCTTTCGAAAGAAGAATTAATTTTAATTTAAAGTTGGAAAGTTATGCTGGATTGCATTATACTGTTAAGTATGGTGATGCCGGCGATGATTTTAGACATTATGATAGGGTTAGGGTCAGGGTTATTTATTTTAAAACTGTAAAAGCGAAAAAAAAAATTTGACGCCACTTTTAAAAATTATTAACTATGGCTAATATCAATGCTAGAGGGTCTCACTGGATCGCTACTTATAATTATCCAACACATAATGCAGCTGTATTGGAAGCTTTTTTTGGAGAACAGGATTGGAAATATGTTTTTCAGTTTGAAAGGTATGAAAATGGAACTGAACATTTTCAGATTTATTTCCGTACACCTCGTACTTTTTGTCGTACAATATTGGTATTTTACATGATCATAACTTCAACTGGCATGTTGAACCTGCTAGAAGATGGCGACAAAGTTTGAATTATTGTTGTAAAGAAGAAACTCGTATTTCTCCATGTGTACGAAGTGAAATCGAAGTGAAATCGAGCGTGTTCAGGTACCTAAATTATTAGAAATTAAGCGATTTATTGATTTTGGTCATTCAGTTGTAGATGTAATGAATAACGAGAAGTATTTTCCAACTTGGGTTTCTCATCATCGTGCTTTACCGTTATATGTGTCAATGAAACAACATAAACGTAATTTTAAGACTTTATGTATTTATTTATATGGTAATTCCGGTACTGGTAAAAGTCGACTCGCATTAGATCTCGCAAAATGGTATGATCCTGATAAAGAGCCCTATTACAAGACAAATGGTCAATGGTGGGACCTTTATGATTACAGCGATGTAGTAATATGGGATGATTATCGTGGCGATTGCTATGAGCCGCAAGAGCTTTTTAAGTTATGTGATCGCTACGACTACAAAATCCAAATTTAAAGGTGGTTATTTAAATTTTGTATCCAAAATTATTATATTTATTAGCAATTTACCTAGTGATTTTTGTTACAAGGGTAATAAGGGTCAACCTTTTGAACGCCGCTTGGAATTTAATTTGAAAGTGGATAATTATGAAGGTACAAATCACCTTATTCATTATGCAGATGCGAAAGATGATTTTAAACATTATAGTATATCTTTTGAAGATTTTATTGATAAAATTGATGAAATAAAAGACACATTGTAATTTTTTAAACTTTATAATTTTATAATATATACATTAACCTAAAATGTCTATTTCTTTAAATTCTGCGTAAACTTTAAGTTGAAATGCAATTGGATGATCTGAATTATTTCTATTTGACCAAAATACTGGTGGTAGAAATCGTATTAAATCGTTATTTGCCAACTCCTCACATGAAAATCATTGATATCTATCAACATCACTATTAAATAATTTTAGTGGGTTATCTCTAATACTTAGTTCAAATAACGGCCGTTTTTGATAAATTCTTATAGGTTTATCCCCATAACTTAATCTATTAACTGCATTCGGTTGATCTCTAAAAGCTGTATATGTTTTTACTGTATCTCCGTGTCCGTAACTGCTTGCAGCATTAATGATATGTGCATATTGATCTAAGTTTCTTGGTATGATGTAAGTATATTCAAACGGTGCGTTATTAACAAGGGCAGCGCCATTTGTTCCCAATTGATTCCAACAACATCCTTCTTTAACCCATTATTTGAGTGAAAAGCCACATAATCTAAAAAATTTTCAAAATTTCAGTCAATCTTGCAAAATTT